GAATTCGAGAATGTGGTGAAATTTAAACTCGATTTTTGGCTTCGTTTTAAGCAAGTAAAAGTTCAAGTATTTCCCATACGTGAAAATGAAGGGTGGAGTTTCCCGGCACCCCGCCGTGTGGAGTACCCACGTGTCATTGTTCAACTTCCGTGAAATATGAGGGCTTGTCGTATACACTTTTATATTTAGATGTCTCAGTGACATGCACCTTCTGCGAGGAGTGGCAACAATTTAATCACTGGGGTTTTCTCTTATAATACTTTAATACACTTGTCGTTATATTGTTTCAAAGTCAAAAGTCAAATTGTTACCGTTGTATCAATAAAATTTAATGATTATAGTTCTTTACAAAACTAAGAAAATGATAATAGTGTAGATGATTCTAACCTATGCACCATTCCAACATTAATATTTCAGTCTTGCCCATAAAGAAAATCTGCGTATGACGTGCGGTGTATGCCTGAAGACCTTAAACTAAGCTAGATTTATTCTAACGATGTGTTGTAATAAAATCTCCCTTAATATACCAATTTAAAAAAAAAAAAGATGTTGAATTTTATTAATGATGTAAATGTTTTATTTAGTTGTAAAATCATTACCTACATATATACATACATAGGTAGGTATCTTGTGAAACTTGTAAATTATTAATAAAATAGTATGAAATAAATAAAAATATTTATTCAAATTATATTCATAACTATTAATTTAATAATAAATTAGATTGCGATCCATATTTTTTACTTAAATTAAATAATTGGTTGTATAGCTTATTTATCGAAATGCATTTACATTTTTTGGATAATGTAGAAAAACTATCACGTTTTGTTTAGCTGTTTTTTGCGAGAATAGAACCAGCAATAGCTCTGCCTAAATTATCTAATAGGCACTTATTTCTTAAACAAAAAAAAACGTTTAAAATGGTACTTTCAACTTGAATTTGTTAACACATTTTAGGATGAGCTTATTAATTTGAAAAACTATTACAAAACTGCTACATTCATTTTTGGTACTGAAAAAATATTTTTCTTTCATACATAAATAAAGTAGCTACGTTAGGTACGTAAGGTACGTAAGCTAAAGAGTTCTAAACCGTTGAAGACTAAAGTGGAATTTTCTTTAAACAATTTGAATAGACATACGCCCATTTAGTTTCGAGGCACAAACAGCGGGGGTGAAATTGTTGACAGGCAGCTGGAATGAATTATTGTTAGTCGCGGAACGACGACGCCGCAGACGTCGGCTCGTTACAGAGCCTTACACCTACCCCTCGACAAATTTGACGAAAACGCGAGTCACATCTAAAGACAAAATGTATTTCTACGTTATTAGTACACGCGTTACTACACTAGCAATGTATAAGGGAAGACAGAAGTTCCATTTTTAATTTTAAAATTCGAATAGTAAATTTCGAAAAAACTGTTTTAAGTGTGGGAGAGCCATGCTTCGGCACGAATGGGTCGGCTCGAACGGAGTGATACCACGGCCTTACAGAAAAACCGGCGTGAAACAATCACAGCGTTGTGTTTCGCCATGTGAGTGAGGTTACCGGAGGCCCAATCCTTACCCTCCCCGATCCCTCCCCAACCTCTAAATCTAAAAACCCAAATTTCCTAAAAGGTCAGCGACGCACTCGTTACTCCTCCGTTGTGGGTGTCCATGGGCATCGCTGATTGTTTACCATCAGGTAATCCCTCTGCTCGTTTGCCGACCTATTACATAAAAAAACTCCCTTTTCTTTCCACTCTTCCAAATTACTAATCATACTATTTCAAATAAAAAAGTAATTAGTAAATCAGTTCTAAGAGACCCACACGCATGAGACAACCTTTAAAAAATCAAAGACAAAGATACAAGACACATTTGTTTAAATTTTACAAAAAACGTTAAATTTAAAACTTGATTTATTCTATTCTATTCTATTACAAAAGAACGTTTAATTTTTAAAAGTAGGTAACAAAACAATTGATACACGTCTCACTCAGCAGCAAAGTTCACACATACGACTCACGCAGGAAACAAATGAGGGACGACTGGCAACGAGTATTTGTTTATCTCACAATATTAACTCCATTTGTTCTAATTTCCTTCGCAGTGTTAGTGACGGGATGTAAGTGAATGGAATTGATTCTCTTACTGTTGTAGGAAAGCCATTTTATTAAGTCCCGTTGATTTTATCTTAAAGGTTAATGATATTCATATTGGATATTGTTGATTTGTTGGTTTTGTTCGTATTAATGGATTATTTTAGGACACCTATATAAATTTTATACTAATATTACTGTTTAATATTTTGAGAACTTTCGGTTGAAAATAATTCAAACTCAAACTGGATTTTTGCAGTCGTATGAAATATTGTTCTTACTGGACGGTGAGCAAGAGTAATTCATCGCCCGAACCAGACCTGAGCGTAAGGCGCGTAGCGTTCCGTACACGCCTTAAAGAGCCAAAAGACAACCACAGATAGATCCCAACTGGGCCGATGTTCAGCCGGGGTTGCGGGTCAAGCGCAATAGGTACCACAGCTCCGGCCTAGAGCAGGAGAAGGAACGGGATGGTTATAATTTAGTAAAAGTCTGAAACTCCCTGCAACCTCATCCTGATTTTCCGCCTTCAAAGAAGAACCCACATTAACAACATAATCTCCAGAAAGAAAAATAACCATTGAAAAGAGACAGACAGATTAGCACTTATACCTCTTTCTCCTGCTTACACATCTAATAGTCACCTCTCTCTGCCGTAAAACATTACTCACTATACAAAATCATCAGACCGTATATTTCTAAGAAAGAGCGTCAACGCACCCACACTCTGCAACGTAAGTATCAGTGCCAACCCTGTCATAAATATAACACATAATCGAGACTAAGTCGATAGCTCGGCATTGCTCGGTATACCGCGCAGGCTATTTTCCGCTAGGCTGACGCTCTGGTCGAACTGTCACCCTTTAGGCTTTGATGTAAAATGATACATAACGGCATTGTCTCCGGTGGCATCTTCGATCAAAAACACCCCTACGTGTAAGTCATACACTACAGCTTCAACACCCATTTATGTCAACTAGTTACTTTGCACACAGACACGTTTGGTAGCGTAGATCTGAATGAGTCGGTATAAATACGTGATTTTTCACCGTTGACAAATATCACTGTATGATTTTTAAGGGCAATAGTCGTTTATGCTTAATTCAAGTTTGGAAGAGCCATGCTTCGGCACGAATAGGTCGGCTCAACCATACTAATACCACGGTCTCACAGAAAACCACAGCGTTGTGTTTCGCCGTGTGAGTGAAATAACTGAAGGCCCAATCCTTCCCCTCCCCCAATCCCTAAATCTCCAAATTAAGGGTAAAAAAAAGGTCGTTGTCACGGGTGTCCGCCCACCGCGCCCGTGTCCATGGGCGCCGCTGATTGCTTACCATCGGGTCAGATTAAGGTCTATGAGCTCGTTTGTGGTTCAATCACTTTAAAAAATTTAAGACAATCATCAATATCACCAATTTTCCAAGCCAAGACCCATCTCATCCAGTTTTATAGTTCAGATATTTGATTTAGTTGGAGCCGGAGATAGCACCACACTTTTTATTGGCAAGACATCTGTCAATAGTATAAGGAAACAGATGAAAAATCAAAGAATTATTTTATTAATTTTGAAAAGAAATTGCAGAGTTCATGACATAATATTCCGGTGTGGGTGACACCTGCCGGCAGCGGCCGTTGACCCATCCCAAAGTATAAGGGATATTCTTTAATAATCCCATTGCGTAGACGTACATGCAAAACACAACTCTATACTGTCCGCACAGAGTATAAAATGATTTGGAGTACAAATGATGAGAATTCTCAACTTTCATAGCGAGCAGAAAATGTGCTACAAATTTAAAAGATTCTATTTTTTGTTTCAACTGACGCTGCAAGCTAAATAATTGAACCTACTTAATTGACCTGAAAATAAAAACTAAAGAATTAAGGTAAGAAATATATCTGTAACAGTGTCGTGCAGAGCCAGTAGCATATCGGTTTTGTACATTCACAAACTAGCGTATTGTATCGTCGAACAAATGTATGATACCAGGGCGTTCTTTGAGTTTCCTCTCGTTTATCGGGACAGAACTCGCCACGCCACACATGTGTGTCTCCAACCATAATAAGAATCGGAGATTGATAAACATTAAAACATTTTCATAAGACATAAAATTTGTATTTGCTGGCAAAAACAAAAAAAAAACAGTGAAAATAAACAACATACAATTCAGCCTTCGAGCTGAACAAATACCTTACAATACAAAGAATAATTTTATTAACATTTCGAAATAAAATAAATTAAATACATAAAATAAAAGTACATAGGCAAAGGTTTCCGTAGTACGGTAGTTATTTAAGTAAGCAATAAACCTGGTTATATCCGCTCCGGCGCCGAGTCCGTCCACATAATCAAATAAACCCTAGTACAAGCAATGGATTTACGACCGACAAAGAGAATCATTCAACTATAATATATAAACGCTTAGGTAGGATCAACTGATATTATTACTTTATTATCGACACGTATTGTACCTATATTATAAGTAAAAATCATTCCTCATAATAATGTCACGGCAAGTTTATTAAGATGATAGAATGATAGATGTTCTTCAAATGTTTATCTATTAGTATATAGTAGTGTGTCAGCTGCACAATGAGTACGGGACTTCAACTGAAGGTAAAATTAAAGGATGAATACATAAGGAATATAGATGGCTTGCTTCGACAGTTCATTATGACGGCTCATCGGTTCTAGAGGATGGGAGGTTGGTTGACGGTTAACATTGCACCACAGCGCTGAGTGATGTCTGGTATTCCGAGCGAACAACAATTTGCTTAGAAATCTGTCAGCCGATATTATTATGTGTTTAGTACTGATTGCAATCATTATATTACTGTTCTCTACACACTTTCTAGGCTATCACCTAATGTTATCCTAATCATCTTTGGATAAATATGTAAATTATCTGCTATCTGTTAATACAACAGAAACTCTTCTATCCTCACATCAGCAGCTTCAACAAGACTTTCCATATTCACTGGAACTTCTGCAATAGTAAATTTTCTTTGTTAGTGTTCGAAGTGATCATTTCAGGAAGTAAATCATAGAAGTGTAGTTAAATAAGTGTATCATAGCACCTAAAGAAACTTCTTATTAAAGCATTGCACGAAACTTACGTAAATTGACAAAATCGGGATGATAGCCGCTGTCTTTGCGAGAAGATTTTACTGCAACTCTCAAAGAGTTTACCACTACATGACCAAGGCATCCTGGAGGTTCACCAACAGCTGCAAATATAAACTTATTATAAAACCATATCTAAGGAAGGTTAACACATATTTTTACTGTTGTGAGAACTACTTTCTGGATATTGGAAGTTATAATTACAATATATAACAATTACCTTTAGATCCCAAAATGCCAACAGGATTAGGCCTCTTCCGTCTCAAATAAACACGGAAGTCATATGGAATATCTTTAGCTCCTATAATTTTATAAGTCCACGTCCGATCACTATATAATTCTCCAGTATGTTCGTTGTAAACTATATTTTCAATTAACCACAATGATGTAGCCATAACAAACGCACCTTCAACCTACACAATAAAAATAAGTTAATAATAAATTATATTTAAATGTTATATCAAATATTCAAAAAAATATTTCACCTGGCCAACATCAATAGCTGGATTCAAACTACGACCTACATCTTCAAAGATATCTGCTCGAACAACCCATTTACTACCAGTCAAAATATCGACTTCCACTTCAGTTACGGCTATCCCAAATATTGAATAATTTACCAATCTTGGATCATTTTGACTAGTTTGGTAATTTGCCTGTAGTAATACTCCCTGCCTGTCAGCTTCAAATACAATTTCTTGCCACGAGGCTGTAGGCCTTGCTGCTCTAAAAGGGGCCAATCTCGCTTTGATCTGATCACAGCATCTTATTACACTGTATGCACAGCATTCGCTGGTTATACTAGAAGCTGTCGCAAAATTATTTGGTGTGGTAAAGTTATAACAAGGTAAAACAGTTACAGTTTCAACAGGAACGTCAAACTGATCAGCTGCTACTTGGGCCATTTTTGTGAAAATACCTTGCCCCATTTCAATGCCACCAATATTTACAATGACACTTCCATCACCATGGTACACAGATACGAGAGCGCCGTAGTTGCCAATGTAGGCTGTTGGGAATGCCATGTTGTTCATCCTTATTCCCCGTTTCTTCCATCTATTGAGATGATTAAATTCTTTGACGTTATTTAGGCGTTCCTTAAAATTGATTCTCTCTAGAAACATAGGTACCAGTTTGGGTAAATCATTGTCTTCGCGTCGATAGTTAGCCATGCGTACTTCTATCGGATCAGCATTTAGCTCCTCGGCAATATGGTCCATTATGTGCTCTATTCCAGATATTCCTTCGAAACCACCTGCAAGGGAATCAAAATCTTAGGTTAACTGTCTTTCAATGCTGAATCTTTATCTCCGATCAATGTTTGTATTTCGGTTGTTAAAGTATCTTTAATGATTTCTGTGACAACTAACTCGTAAAACAACCGTCCCCACTCTCACTATTTGTACTTTTTAAGTTAAAACTTACCAGGGGCTCTCATAAAGTTATTTGTTGGAGCATCTGTTATGGCGCCAAAAGAATCACATTTCCATCTACGAGAGTCATAGCAATTTTTCAACGAATCTGTGGCATATGTATTTTGATTTTCATTACGAGATTGGCCATCATTCAGATAAAATACAGCATCCATATATTGAATTTCGCCTTTGTCGTCAACTCCGACCTATGTAAATAGTTTTGTAATTTTAGTTTTTTCTTCGGTCTGGCATGTATTTTAGCAGTTGTATATTAAAGGTTGTTTGGGACTTTGAATTATGTAAATTTTAAATATTTTTGTAATTCCGTACCCAAATATGCCGTTTGTCCGTCTGTCTGTTTTTCTACACAAAAAACGCGAATTTTCGACAGGCGAAATTTGGACACATGGTGTATTAAAATAATAAAATCAAAACAAAATATTTTACGGGACCTCATACAATTATGCAAGAGAAACAAGTGATCTTGGTGCGGAATCTTTGTGTACGATTCTATATCATACTTTTCCAGCTTTTCGTATTAAAATTTTATATGTCCTATTATAAAAATAATGTTAAGTACTTTATTTCTTACAACTTATTAAATTCCTACCTCATAGTCAAGTCTACTGTTTGGCCTTTTTCCGGTTGCACGTGTTATATTTGTCATCGACATGGCCATTCTACACGTTTTATTAAGTTTCTTTGCCACTAAGGCTGTAGCACATGCTGCAAAATTATTCCTACTGATCTTGCAGCCAAAACCACCTCCTAATCTTCGTGTTTTTATCGATATCCTGAAATCAAACAGTACAGAATGTATCATGAAAATTACAAGAAAAATGTTATTTAAGTATAATATAGTCGTAGTGGCCCGGAGGTTAAGGGTGCCCGCTTCTCATGCATGAGGGTGAGGGTTCGAAACCTGGCAAGTACCAGGCTGATGATGATGATGATGAATTATACTAATAAAAAAAAAATACTCACAAACTCTCGGGGATATTTAAAAGTTTAGCAATTGCCGCTTGCGTTATGTCCAGATACTGAGCTGACGAAATAACATCATAACCTTCATCAACAGGTTTTGTAATAGTTGTATGAAGTTCCATCATGTGGTGATACTGCATTGGACTAATAAATTTTCCTTTTATTATCTTTCTGACATTAGCACCTCTATCAGTTGGTACGATTCCTGGATAAGGAATTAGCCTGTTTTCCTCTTTTGGTGCATGTATTGCATCTTCAATAGTAAAAATCAATGGTTTCTTTGGAACATTCTTATAGTTTACTTTTACTAAATGTGCCATTTTATCAGCCAATTCTTGAGAAGTCGCAACGACGATGGCGACTGGTTGATTATAAAACTTTACTTTGGTACTTGCTAAAAGTTCTTCATTTTCGAACATGAGTAAGAAATCACCACGAAGTATGGTATTTACACCTGGTATATCCGCAGAAGTTAACACCGCTAATACGCCGTCTTCCTTCTGAAAGACAGATTTTATTTTTATGATGGTAAATATGTAGAAAAAAGATTACAGAGTAATAATTATACTTTAATATAGTTACCATAACTTCAGAGCCATCAATACTTTCAATGTCTCCTCTTGCTACAGTCGAAAGCACAAAGGCTGCAAAAACTTCATCCTTTATAGTTGGTATATCGTCACAATACTCAGCTTCGCCTGCACATTGAATCATTCCTTCTTTCTTTAATAATGGTTGTGTTATAGGATAATCTTTCTTATCTGTGTCATATTCTTGATAGCTGCGGCTAACTGGTGGTCTGTCATCACTAGGAGTTGTAGCTCCTGACTTATAAATTGGGTTCAGTATGTCTTTTGGGCACAATTTTATAACGCACTGTTAAAACAAAAATATTGAAGAATAAAATATCTATATTTAGCAGTTCCCTCATCTTTATTTAAAATCGGTATTGATTTTTGACAAACCTTATAGAATAGTCCAAGAGCTACTTTTTTCCGAACACATGGCGGTGGATACGGTGGGCGAATACTGGGATCTATTTCTCGCTCCAAGATATGCAGAGCAGATTGTAGGACATTGTTATTAAATATATTACGTCCAATTAAAAACCTCTCCGTCTCATAAGCGTGGGTAAACGATGGATTAATATTACCGTACACAATAGACGCTTCTTCAACGAGATGTGTATGAGAGTTGAATTTCAAAAGAAAGGCAGAATTTACGTCTGCTTGAGCATTTTGTTCCCTCGGCGTAATCTAGAAGCGAATGTTCATATTTAGCCAGTTTTATTTGTCTCAAAAGTATTTTAGCTATTCAGATAAGTACTGAATTGGCAAAAAATTTTAGACTATAACATAAATTCCCTGATGTTGTTGGAATTTCGTGCCAGGTTATTTTATTTTTGTTACAAAACTAGCATTTTCAACACATATATATTCAAGTGAGTACATGTGAATATACATAAATTTATATTCGCACAAGTATCAAGTCCGATTCCAAAATAGAATAAAAACATTATTCACATTATTTTATTTAATCTATATTACAGTATACATTACACTTACGTGCTTTTTACTAGAATCGGACCAAATATCACATAACCATTCAAGCAATTGGCAAAGTTTAGCTTAAGTGCAATGTCGTAAAAAAATTGTGATTACCTTATAAGTTACTAATTCATAGTGACGGGACAATGGTCGTAGCTTTATCTGTGTGATCACTTTTCCTTTAAGATTTGTCGTCAGAAATTCAGGCAAATTCATCTCTGTCTGACTCATGTTACGGTCCACTAGAATTTTAAAATCACGTTTACTCATAAATATTGTGTTTAATTGACTTTTTTTATTAAAACAAACAATATTAAAACCTTACCTAACGTTACAGAAGCCCCGACGCAGTCCAATAAAAGAAAAATGTCAGATTGAAAACTTGGATCGGAATTTTTCAATGCCAAATTGCCAGCAAGAGTCCCAATCTAGAATAAAAGAATTAAGTAAGTGAAATACAAACACATTAAAAAAACAGTTTCCAGCAATCCTGGAATCAAAGTTTAAAAACGCCAATGAGAAATCATTTATTTAAAAAAATAGATAACTAAGGGCAACTTTGCACGTCAAATTAAAAAAAAAATATAAAAAAGTTCAAATTTGCACTGCACCACACTGCACACACTATATGCTATTTGAAAACGATTCAGCAGTTTATGCTTGAAAAGAAACAAATTAATTAATTTTAAATATTTTTTTCGTTTATAACAACCATGAACTTACATTTCGAACCGGTATATGGGCCACTTTATCCAAATGCTCATACAATATATGCAAGTACCAAAAATCTTCATTGGATTGAGCTAGCTCTTTAAACAAGTGCATCGTATCTGTCAAGGTCATGTTAGCTCCAAGAACTAAGTTCACATCCATGTAGTGAGTCGCGAGTTCCTTTACATCACTTACATCTATCAACAGCTTTGGGTAAAATAACATTGGACGGACTCCTGTAATACATGAATAGAACACACTATTTACTTAACATTGAAAAATTTATAATTAAATAGCAAAAATCAAGTCAGGAAATAATACGTAAGTTACGTCTTAAGTACTTTTAAGTATATATCTTTTGTATGTGCATCTTCTATAATTACTTTAAACATTTCAATGCATTATTTTTTTATATACATTTACTACTATTACACAGAACAGAAAGATACGAAAGTAATTCTAAATTACCTTTTGCGGTGTTCCCAGCGACAAGCATATAAGACTCATACCCAACATCGTCCAAAGCTGCAAATATTGATCTTATATCGCTAACAGAGAACCACAGCCGTCCATCGGCGAGCGATATTTTCTTAGGCAAATCCGAAGCACTCGTATTATTCATATTTACTAAACACCAGTCCTCATTTATCCCACATGTGCCTCCACACGTTTTACCGGATTTCGGGCATATTTGTTCAGATATATCCTCAATATCCTTTATCTTCTTCAATATATTCGCGTCTGGGTAGACGGCAAAAGATTTGAATGCTTCTAAAATGGGACGATAGCCTGTACATCTACAAAGGTTGCTACCAAAAGAGTTTTCTATTTCTGCTTCAGTTAGATGGCGATCACTGCCCTGTGCGAGGCTGGAAGTATAGAAAATGAGGATCATTGGCTTAACAATACAAAAAGATTAAACGTTTAATAACCTTTAAGGACATTCGTTCAAACTACGCTCATAAACAACGTAATGCTATATTAAAAACTAGCTTCCATCCGCGGCTTCGCCCGCGTGGTATGTTGATAAAAAGCATGTGTTAATCCAAATCCAACCTACCTACATACCCAATTTCAACCAAATCGGTCCAGCCGTTTTTGAATGGAAGAATGAACATAACAAGCAGATACATTTCCACATTCTTTTTCTTTTAATATTAGTAGGATACTGATATAACGGAACATGTAAATACTTTAATGGAACTAATTATTTTTTCAAAAACAATCTCTAAATAATTCAATATTAATAAGACCCAAAAAAAATATTACCTGTACATGCTCATTACAAATCCTGGACTGCAGTAACCGCACTGAGAACCAAAGAAATGGTTAAGTCGCTTCTGGATGATATTGTAGCCAATTTTTCTGTTGCCAATACCTTCTATAGTCGTTATATCCCAGCCATCGCAAGACATAATAGCGACAAGGCACTGAAATTAAAAAAGTATAAAAAGAAAAATTGTAATCTAAAGTGAACTTTATAAACATAATTATAAGGTACGTACCGAATTAACGGAAAATGTGGCATATTCTTGAGTGCCAGCTACATGGGTTCTGACGTTGACCACACAGGCACCGCATCCACCTTCCCGGCACATGTACTTCGTGCCACGGAACTCTCCATATTGTCGAATGAACTGGTTTAAAGTCAAGTCCACAGTAAACTCGGAACCCGCTGTTTAAAAAAATAAGAATTAGGCAAATAACCATATAACAAACTAATATTATAAATGCGAAAGTAACTCTGTCTATCTATCTGTCTTTTCTTCACGCCTAAACTACTGAACATATTTGTGTGAAATTTGGTACAGACTTACTTTGGAACTCGACAGGATAGTTTTTAAACCAAAAATCTGAGTGAAATCACTATTCCACACGAACAAATTCGCGGGCAAAACCTAGTACTCAATAAAGTAAAACTGTGGGAGAGCCAGGTTTCGGCATGAATTGGTCGGCTAAACTGGAGTGATAGCACGGCCTCACAGAAAACCGGCGTGAAACAACTACAGCGTTGTGTTTCACCATGTGAGTGAGTTTACTGCAGATCCAATCCCTCCTCCTCCCCCCATGCATTCCCAATAGTTAAATATCCGAAACCCCTATCCCCAAAAGGCCGGCATCATCATCATCATCATCAGCCCATAAGTGCCCACTGCTGAGCAAAGGCCTATTCTCACACGGAGAAGGTTTAAGCATTAGTCACCACGCTTGCTCAATGCGGGTTGGCGATTTCAAACTTATAATTAGAAATTATAAGTCCAGGTTTCCTCACGATGTTTACCTTCACCGTATGTCAGTGGTGTCTAAATAATCATAGAAAGTACATATAACTCGGAAAAAGTCACATTGGTACTTGCCAAGTTTCGAACCTACACCCTCATGCATGAGAAGCGGGCGTCTTAACCTCCGGGCCACCACGACGATTGCCGGATTGACGACAAAAGGCCGGCAACGCAATCGTAACTCCTTTGCTGTTACTGATGTCTATGGCCAGCGCCGATAACTTACCATCAGGTAATCCGTATGATCGTTTGCCGACCTTACACATAGAAAACAGCAAACTGACATGCTCGTTATGAAAGCAATATTTTACTGAACTCAAACAAAAAGTAATATAAAAATATTAATAAAACACTAACCGCTGTACTTTCTTCCATTTATAGTGAAAAACACTCGATCTTTAGTCACAGTGAGATCCATTCTGAAATGAACAGTCCCCACTTAACAACAACAAATAAATTCTTAAATTATATCTATCGCTAAGACAGAACTAATGCACTAGAGTTTAAAAATAAAACTGATATAACAAAATATTTAAAATAAACTTTACGACGTTACTTGTATCTGCAATCAGTTAGCGCAATGTCTGACTACAATAAACCAGTTTATTTTAATTATTCCTTCGATATGGAACAAGGGTGATGAACCATGTCCATTTTTTCATCCATACAGCTAGCATGACGTGTATAATTAATGCAATACCTGCGTACATACTTGCGGAAATAATAAACTAACATCGTTTATTAAGTAATCATACATAGAAATAATAACTCTTCCATCCTTTTTGAAGCTGACGATTTTTTTTTATGTCACAAGTCGTCAAGCGAGCAAACGGATTACCTGATGGTAGGCAATCAGCGCCGAACATGGACACCCTCAACAACGGAGGAGTTACGAGTGCTTTGCCAACCTTTTGGGAATTAGGGATTTGGAGATTTTAGGAATGAGGATTTGGGATTTGGGAAGGGGAAGGATCAGGCCTCCGGTCACCAGGCGAAACACAACGCTTTAGTTTTTTCACCCCAGTTTTCTATGAGGCTTTTGTATTAGTCTGATCGAGTCGACCCATTTGTGCCAAAAATTGGCTTTTAAATTATTGTTTTTATTTATTTTTTAATAAAAAATTTCTTTAAAAAAAGAAAATTTTAAACGATCCTTACTAAAAAAAAAAGTCACAGATTAAATAAAATGGAAAAATAAAATATTCCAGTGAAGTGAGATATTCAGCTTTACTGAGCTCTCCAATTGCTGCGAGCCAGTTTAATTAATTCATCTCAAGTTAAGATGTTTCTTTTATTGTTTTCCTACCACTTACCAACGAGGATAGAAAGTACATTCATTAATTAAAAACTAGGCAAACTCATGTTAAGTGTCTTACGTCCAATAAATTAAATTCCAGCTTGTACCATATTTATTGTATTTTTTTACATTTAAACATTTTACCTCCACTATGTGGAAATAAATTGTTAATTAAACTGGCAACATTGCATTATGGTTACGAAAGCGCGGATAATTATAAAGTAATATGTTTACATTAAATAAATTATTGCTTCCAGCAATTACTTATAAAACTTCACTGACACATCGCCACATTCTCATTATTGTGTACAATTTTATGCCTTCCGTTACCTGGGACTATTTATAAGAGATTTATTATGTAGGTGGATAGCTAGCAACTAGCGAATCAAACCTACCTAGTAAATAATGCAGCGTATCTTAGTGCACACGTACTACGGAATCCAGATTCTCCCACATCGAGTCCTGGCTGAGTAGCTACCGACAGTGAATATTAACAGAAGGATTATCTCATACAAAGTTGGTTCCGTGTGCTTCCACTAATATCTCTACTACGTGTTTACACTGGGACACGCGAATTAGACGGTATTATATCCGTTACCATGGTGATTAGAGCTCACTACATCTTCGATGGTAAACCAGTTCCGCCGCTTATTAATAAAGTTACGCATAATTAACCAAATTAGTACATACATTGTGTGGTTCATCGACGTACTGAAATTATTATGACCCCGATGGATGAAGCAATTTCTGCGGATTTAGTACTTACGAGTTAGTTATTCGTTCGTTAAATAATGCTTATTCGTGGCTCTTGCAAGTACAATTTAATTTATACTGTTTCATTTAAGTTTACTTTAACATAACAACCATATTGTAGAAACCAATAGTTATCGCATGAAAATATATGTGTAACTTTTATGCGCAATGATGGACCGTGGCCATGCTTGGGGCAAAAGTAGTAACGAGGTGGTTTTTAAGACGGGAGTGCCAGGTGAGGGGGATCGCGCCTATCCATGGGGAGAAGCCATTCGATAATATTTCCCTATCTAACAATTGTGTTTTAATAGAACATTTTGAAATGATGATAAATTAGTACCTTCAAAAAAACACAAAATTATTCATTTCGAACAATAAAAACGTCTTAAATATTCGCTATACCAGTAGTAGTGGGTTGATTTAGCAAGACATTAGAGATTTAACTAGTAATTGCTCTGTTGAATATTCAAAGCGTATGCCTGATGATCGCCAGAGTCGGTTACATGCCCTTGATTATCTACCTAGCGATGTTTCACAGTCCAGCAAGTACACTTTACAATTATTATTTTATTTCTTATATCCTGACTTTAAAGACTAAAATTAATTATTTCCGGCAAATCATTAGCAATTTAAAGGTAATTAATGCTTTTTATATAGTATCTACTGCGAGTTCTACTAAATTTCTCGAAAATGACGATTAACTCAACACAGCGTTATGTTTCTATATATTATCTATAAATTACTGGAGGCCCAATCCGTCCCCATTCCCAAAATCTCCAAATCCGAATTCACAAAAGGTTGGCAACGCACTCGTAACTCCTCCATCGTTGCGGTTGTCCATGCGCGGCGCCGATTGCTTACCATCAGGTAATCCGTATGCTCGTTTGTTTAGTAACTCACTTGGATAAACTGAAGTTGAGAAACCCTCTACTAGTTACAGGTCACAGCGAGACTTTTATTATGAGCAGCGTGCGCATCGCGGCGCGCGACGTACCGCTAGAAGATAGTTGCTAGTTTTACTGTATGTCTGGCTGATTATAGTTTCATTAAAAAAATATACACAAGCTAAAACCTATTGATTTTTTCATTTGTTGTTCAAAAATAGCATCTATTACAAGGCAATGGATAACTTTTTGATATCTAAGTTTATTTACAAATGAAATCCCAGTGCAAAATCTCAACTTCCAACATGTTCTCTCGTAAAAATTTAGAAGGTATCCTTAATTAAAAAAGTTTTCAGTACGTTTGTTGCGTCTTAACGGCTAAACTACTAAACCGGCTTCCTAGCAAAGGAACATAGGTCAGTTAGGAAGACTTTTCTAGAGTTAATTGAAAAGTTTTTACGTGGGCAGAAACGTGGTAGTTTCCCCTTCAATAGTTTTCTATAGAACTTAAAAATTGAAGTTTATACCTCTGTACGGTATTTCCTCGGAGGAATAAATCTCTATTTAACTTTATGGAAAGTTTTACGACACCATTTCTTTTTCGTTTTTATATTTATTTAAAAACATTAGACGGCTCTGTCACACTAAGTTAAAGGATTTTCTGACTTTTCTCAAGACCGCTAATTTTTTTCTGAGGTAAATCTTAACTGAATTATGATTATGACGTGGCTCGTTTTCGTCAGTCTTTATGAAATTAACTCTTTTCTTTTGTAATTTTACAACACTTTTTTGCAAAAAGTACCTTTGCAAGTATTAAAACAGACAGCAAAGGCCGTCCGTTGTATTTTAATTACTAAACTGACACACGAACGCTTACAAATGCAGGCGAGATATGAAATACCATATATAGTAAAATAATTTGCTCGGCGAATTCGGAGAAGTCTAGTTTAAATGTTATTAAATTTACCTTCAAACTGATCAATACAATTTTAATTAGAATTAACATACAGCTTTCTTGATACATAACATAACAACATTGTAATCGTTTTTCCAAAGTAAAATTAATTCTACAACACGACATACCAAACTCCTGGAGGCAAAAAGCTGATATTTGACACGTAGGAAGATTCCTTGAGCAGTAGAGGAAGGCTAGGAGAAAAACTATGAGAAATGTGTCATTTTTATGCACGTGCGGACTCATGAGTATAACTAGTAAGTTATAAAAGTACGTGAGAAAATAAGTCTCAAGTCTGTTCACGTAATTAATTAGATGATGTGCCGGTCTATTGTTAATACCTTCGATCTTCAGGGAGCTACGTGGCTGAGGATTCTTGTTCCTTAATAAACAACGTGGTTCGTTTAACTGGCTGGAAAACTTATCATGATTGTTGAATCGTGTTGTGAACGTGACCAGAAATAAATAGGTAACATTTTTTTATTTCACTTCGGTAGCAATAAGTACGCAGATTTTGTGTTTTATTTTGTACTGAGAAAAGTGTCGTAATTGCTACTTCAGATGCGTTTTCTTTTTCTGTAAATAGCACGAAAATATATAAAATGAATTTCAAAAATTTTTTTGTCACTTAATATGATTAGGAGAGACAACGAAATATCTCGTTCAAATTTTTCAGACATTTATCGAGGCTGTACAATGAGAAAGAACCTTGGAATGTATTGTTTAATTAATTATATATTTAAATACCCTCATAATCAAAATCAAAATTGCAACTGGAATCATACATTCTCAATTTTATTTTATTATTAACTAGCTCTTACCCGCGGCGTCGCTCCCGTCATTTGACTACCTACTCTACCTATCCTACTCTACCTACCATACTGTACCTAACCTACACTACCTACTCTATCCTATCCTATGTACTTCTCCTGGCTCTAAACTACCTCCCTGCCAATTTTCAGCTAAATCGGTTCAGCCGTTCTTAAGTTATAAGTGGAGTAACTAACACGACTTTCTTTATATATATAGATTTATTCCACTAAGTTTGAAGTATCTTATAATAAGGGGCTTAATATACTATTACGTGAAGCCGGTGACTTTCTAGATAATTTAATGTGTGTAGTTATAAAAATCAGTGACTAACATTGCACATCACTTCAATATCCCGGATACTTTGTATTCCTATCACAGCCGGTCGGGATACGCAACGGTATTCAATTTGCACAAAGTAGAAGAAATCGCAAGGCTTTACTAATTGCTAAACGTTGTTTTTCCGTTCACTTTCCGTAATTGCTTACCTAGATGTTACCTAATAAACATTTGTTCGAATTATAAGGTACGCTACCTCTATTAGAGAACTTGCTTTTGCTTTTTTTTATCCTTTTAGAAAGTTATTAGCATACCGGTGAGGTAACTTCAACTTCTAATCAATTCTTTGTTACACTTATCAAAAGGCAATTTACGTAAGTATTAAATACTTTTTTTTTAATCTTTGCCTCACACTAGGATTTTCTCCTGTGTCGTAGGTGCGGTTATAAACATAAAATTTCACATACACATGACACCCAGACCCGGAACAACAATTTGTGGATCACACAAAGAGTTGTTCCGTGCGGGAAGCGTACCCGCGACACGTTTCATGGCAGCCAGTTGCCCAGCCACCGCACCAATCGTGCCGTCAATAAATAAAATAAATAAATTACTATACCACATAAAATTACCAAAACATATAACAATATGGGTTTCAATTGAAGAAAGAAAAGATATATTTTTCTTTTTATCTTACTTACTGATTAAAATAAAATTCTAATAACCATAAAAAACATACCTAAGCTATACCTAAGTAGTATAGAGAACTAGACCCTCACGTGTCTTTCGTTCACACAGCGTCCAAGTTGTACCTACTACTTACAAACGAGTTCATTCCAGAGAATTACTCCACAGGATTAAAAACTCCAAATATTCTGCGAGACTGTAAATTTTATGTCTTCTTCCAAAGTTACGCAGGTACTTACGTAGGCAGGTAATAAAGATACCTCCGTGTCACTGGATAAACTTATATTACTGGAGTGTTGGAACCTCTTGTGAGGAATTCCTCGCTCCGCTGCTCGTCCAAGTTTGAGGCTCTCAACTAAATTAGGGTACGTTATTGTTCATAACATCAATATATGAGCAATATCTGGTAGTAAGTTTTTGTTATGTTGCTTTATATGATATTCGGAAGAAAAATTATGCGTCGGGATCTTGTCCATCAAGTGTCCCAAGATATTATCGTAATTTTCTGCCAACATATATTACTAAGTTACATAGAGATAGAGAAATTCTATAAAACTTCATAGGATGAAGGTTGTTGTCTATCAGACCAATAAAATCACGGTGAACCCATTTCAAATTATATGCCTACCAATTCCTTTTAATAACTACATACAGTACTAGAAATGGAATTCAATGGCTAAATTTAAAATGTTATATAGGAAAGGAAAAATCTTAGGGATAGGCGTGCTCCATCGTAGGTCGCATAATAGCTATTGAAATTTAAATTATCTTAAATACAAACCCTTTTATTTATAAATATACAAAAACACACCAATTCACTACTTTCCGGGACCACCTTTTTTGTTTTCGCTTTTCTGCTTACTTTTTGACTTTTTAGCGATCGCATCATCAATGGGATCTACTTTCGCCTCATCAAATTTGAATGTTGGAAATGCAGTCATGTCCACCCCGGGACCCCCTCCATATTGCGTTTCCAACTTCCCAAGTTCTCTCTCCAATTCCTTCAGGATAATCGGATTGGGATCTACCAGTTTACCGTCAGCGGACCTCTTTGCATACTCTCGTATTTTTTCAACAAATAGCTGCTGAACTGGATCCGTAGACGTTCCCTTGTTCCTAGTCACTGAACAGAAAAACAAACATCTTGTGCTTCTACTAATTTTAGAAATCAGCATTTTGTGTACTTTACACTTTTTATGTGACCTTTACGTGAAACAGGTCTTATGACAGCTGACAGCTGACAGCTAAAGACCACAGACACCACAGATTAGCGATTAAACGTGACATTAAAAGGCCAGTTCGTATTTGTTTATATTCGTTTTTAATAAAATTTCTTTTACGGAATTACGAGTAAAAAAGTAAAATACGTTTGTTTTTCATGTATATGTTTCTTTAGCTAACAAGATTTGAGGATCCAAATGTGGGAGAGTTATGCTTCGGCACGAATGGGCGCGACCGAAGTGATACCAGTGCCTCAGAGAACAACCTCAGCGTTGTATTTCCTCGAGTGAGTGAGGGCACCGGAGACCCAATCCTTAATTTCCCAATACCCTTTTCAACTCACTTGCAACACCTCTGGTGTTAATGGGCGGGCGGCGCCAATTGCTTACCATCAGGTAATACAACAGCTTTGCGAGTCGACGTCATATAAAACAAATGGAAAAACACAATATTATGAAACCCGATTCTGCGTGTTGGTAACTTTTTACGTGTATGGTATAATACTGTGACATTTCATTGAGCAAAAAAATAATCGCGATTCGAGTTGCGTGACATTGAGTGGTGAATCATTTGAAAACGAGCAGTGTTTTCTATTTAACTTGTAATTTATTATAATTAGTACATAATACATACATATGCATAAATGTGTAATTATATTGTATACACTTTGTGTGCATAATTATGCATTAAGTAATTGTATAAATATGTATAATTACCAATTTATATTAATTATAGGAAAACATTTTTCATAGTTAACTACAATAAATAATACACAGGAGGATCTAATTAAATTAGTTTTTGCATGAACAATCATGTCAGGGGAAAACATACAAACGTTATTATCTATACTAATATTATAGGTAAAATTTGTAAGTTTGTATGTAGGGGGTTATCTTCCGAACCGCTGGTCGGATTTCCAAAATTCTTTCACTAATTGATAGCTACAATGTTCCTGAGTGCCATAGACTACAAAACATAACGCTACAATCAAAAAGAACCGAGCAGCTGGTGAAACCGCGCGGGAGTTCTAGTGTTACATAAACAAACATAATATCCCGCCAACTTCACCTAGTATCAATATATAAAGTTTTTAGTTAGCTACACTCTTTTATATACATAAAAACATAGCGGAGGAACACTCAAGACGGCTAATAAAATATTTTATTATTATTATTCTGTGTGTTCTTTTCCACTCACGGGACCACAGGGTCCCGGACTTTTGGAAGGCGTACGAGGGGCCGAAGCCAACTCGCAGAGGCCCTTTGAACAACTTTAATATAAGTGAGATGGGACATCAGCCGGCAATTATCCCTGTATGCACTATGAAAGTGCACCCAAGGACAATCCCCGGTTGATGCAGAACTATTGCGAAATGTGGTAAAAATTTATAGGGTTATGGGTATGGGTTGCTATGGACTGGTGAATATGATAACTATGGAAATACTATGGCCCCTGCCCCTGACCAATATTGATACATACGGATATTATTAGTCTAACAACAAGTTTATTTTCAAACAATAATAATTTAAAACACCATTGTAATATTTTTATTTTCCCGTAATAAGAACAATTTATCAAAAAATATAATGATACAGATGTGATCTATGCATAGCAGATACTCTTTTTTTAAAGGAGGATACAGTAGTGACTTTATAATTAGGTGTATAATAGAGGTAAACCAAAATTTAATTCTCGTTGGTCAAGTTGTTGCAAGTGGGACTGCGAATGTATTTCAGGTCTGATAACCGCATCGTTACAGCTCGTTTAAATTGTTTTCGGTTTTCACACGAATGTTTAATTTTTTTTTTTTTTGTAAGTGAACTTGAAAGACGTTGTCTGAAATTGTTCCTGGTATAAATGTAAGCATCCCTTCCATCACATAGTATTGCTACAGACATGATATAGCTGAGGAAAAGTCCGAGGTTGCATTTCAAGTCACAACGGGACTCCTAATTATGATCAGTGTGCGCGTCAGGGCGACGTCACTATTAAAAAAAAAGATCTTCCTACCTTTTTTCTCATTACTATAAAGATTGTAATATATATTTGTAATTAAATGTTGATGTAAGTATTATGCTCAATTTATTTGGAAAGTGATTACGTTCCATATTGAAGATTCTCTGAAGCGAAGATAATTTAGATGTGCATTATATTTTTACATCTGCGCGCTATTAAAAGTAATTTGTACTGAAATATATCTTTATAAAAATAAGCATAAAATAATCATTGACTGTACGGTTGGCGCGGTGGCTGGGCAACTGGCTACCGAGCAACGTGTCGCGGGTTCGATTCCCGCACGGAACAACTCTTTGTGTGATTTACAAATTGTTGTTCCGGGTCTGGGTGTGATGTGCATGTGGAATTGTATATTTGTAAACGCACCCAGGACACAGGAGAAAATCCTAAAGTGGGGCAACATTTTTTAAATAAAAAAAACAATACATATAAAAATGAATAGCAAAATATGTTTGTAAGCGCATTTCTGTAAAACGGCTGCACTAATGTTATCAATTAATTCTTTTTTTGTTGTATTTATTATTGCCAGGAGAAGTTTTGATTGTGTGTGTGATTGAAAAATATAAAAAAATAAAAGTGAAAAGGGATTTTTAGAGAGATAAGCGGAGGCGGGCCACTTGTAGCATAATAAAAACACACACAGTCTAGACACATTGTGTATATGTATAGTGCAAACGCATGTGAGCCAAATTTTACGCTGTATGTAAAGAATATGTACAATAACAATAAAAAATGACTAGTCCACCCTACCTACCCTATCTTACTTAGAGCTTTAGAACCAAAGCAAAGAGTATAGTACTCAAAACCTAAAACCTACACAAAAGGAGGTTGGATGACGTTAATTAAGTTCGGTAATGGTAATATTAAGGCAGACGGGGTGACCAACTGTTACATTCCTGGAATAAACGTTGGAAATATGAAAGGCTTATGATCTAATTCAGACGAGCTAATTAGGTGAATTAACTGCACATCCCTGACAAAGCCTTCACATCGCCGACCTACTCTACACTGCCTTGCTTTTATGGATACGTTTAAAGAGACTTTACATTGATATCACCAGATAATCTCCTCGAATGAGATGGTAAAGATCAATTGCATTAGTTTTTCAATACCGTGGTTTTTTATGTTATAGGCCGGCAAACGAGCAGACGGATTACCTGATGGTAAGCAATCAGCGCCGCCCATGGACACCCACAACGGAGGAGAAAAAAAAAATAAAAAAAGATAAACCCAGGTTTCTCACGATAATTTCCTTCAGCGTATGTCAGTGGTGTCTAAATAATCATAGAATATGTATATCTACTATATATATAACTCGGAAAAAGTCACACTGGTACTTGCCAGACTTCGAACCCTCATGCACGAGATGCGAGCACCTTAACAAAAAAAAATAACAAATATCTATGACCGCATAAGCAAGTGCTAAACATAAAAACCAGTAACGTAACCTAATAATATTGACGTATCGTCTTCTATATACCAGTCTGTAGGCACAAGCTCTGGGCAAAGTTCTACAAAAGCTACAAATAAAATATACCCCTGAAAAAATATAATATTACTTGAAATGTATTGTTATAGTTGTAAATAATTTAGTGGCTGTCAGAGCGAATAATTTTATAATTTCAATGAATAATAGTACTCAAAGGCTTTCTGACATTCGACATTAATTTTGTCAGATCCTCAACGTCGGCTCTTGATACCTAATCACGCCTTTGTTAGGATGACCTTAAAGGCTTTTGTATTAAGCCATCCTAGAATACTTTGAATATCCCGTAATAGCTTGAAAAAAATTGTAGTTATTTTATTTTTCTGTAAATTTCAAACTAAATAGTTACAAGTGATGTACAAAAGATTAGAAATCCTCTTTTAAATCTTGTGACGTGTTTAATATTTTTAACATTGCAACAAATGTTTCTCTGTACCGTTTTGAAAGATGATCTAGTAACAATAAGAGAAAAGTAATTCGAAATATATTTAATTATTCAGCGGAGGGGATTGTTTCCTGCGGCAAAGATCCCCAAAAATTGCTACGCTTTGGACCGTACGCACACTGCTATATAATCAAATATCCCGACGCCAAATATAAGCCGTTTATTTATTAAGAAGATAGCTTTCTTCGATCGCAAAACTATTAAATAATAACCTTTATGTAGGTAATAGTCAATCTGAACTGTTATGGAACTACGCTATAGTGAATGAAAATTGATAAGATTAAAAATTATTAACAAACAATAAGTTATCAAAATTTAAATATATACGTCGTAAATAACAATACTTAGTAGCAGTATTTTATTAATTAAAATTGGCTAAAATAACATGATACGATGTCCAAATTAAACTCTAAAAATATACAGCTACTCAACAAACTTACTTCAAAAAATAAAATATTTTTACGTAAAGTTATCTCAGTAATTATAAATCACGCCGTTGAATATTAAAAACTACACGCCTTTACAATAATGATGGCGAAATGGGTCAGCCGTATTACGAGCAACTGAAGCATACTGTAACTTCGGGCCCAGAACAGGGAAAGTCAATTCCAACTGGCAACTTTTTTCAGAGAGCTTAAGCCGAGCGGCATTGAGCCGACCTTTTCTATTGATTTTTAACTCCACCGTACCTCATTGTTTTTCTTGCGATTGTCTTGAAACGTTAAACAAAGAATTTCGAGTGCACGCTGCTCCACAAATAATAGTGTACACAGGAGGTCATTTCTGTATGCCAGCTCTGTCTCGCGCTGACTAGTTGTGCGCTCCTCCTAAAACAAAAGATGTAATAAAGTTTAGTGAACCGCAAATTGCGCGGAAGGCAACGAAGCGCGAGATTCTCTAACAAGAGCGATTCCACACTCACAAGTTTGTTCTGTGACACAAGGGAACTCTCTTTATTACCTGCCTACGTAATTTTCGAAGAAGTTGTTACAACCTGCTGAACAATACTCAACTTATTAATTTACTCATTTAACTAATTACTTAAATCATTTCATTCCCATGGTGCCGAACAGAAAGAAAACAAATTGGAATTGTTATAAATTACAGTCTGCTTCGGACTTAATCTTCAGGGAAAATTTCCACCGAACCGTACAAACGAAGTATTCTGTTTCGCTAGTGTAATAGTCTGTCAGTATGAACAAACCCTAATGCTCCCCTAGCTGTGTAACGTGAAGAGTCCAATTTCTTGTTACTAAATCTATTTGATGCTTGCTCATACATGTGTATTACATTAAGAGGTTTTCCGTGGAAACTTGTGTTTTGAAAAATGTTCTTATTTGCTTTAGATGCTGGCAACCTACACAGAAACGTGTATAAAGTTTTGTTAAGATTCTCTGAATTTGAGGCAGCCACACGCGTTAACTCGGTTACGAATACTTTAGAAC